TACCTACCTAGTTCCGAAACATTTGGAGTATATAATAATAAATAAGCACCAAGCAATTGTTGTTCATGCATGCTTAGCAAAGACTCACTGGGGTTTGGCAGCAAAGCCAACATGACTGAAGCTTTTCACTTAAGTATGCAAATTTAAATATTATTATGCTTTATAGGCAGAAAGTTAAATTGACTGTGGTTAAAAATGAACGGTTTTATTTTACTTTTTTGAACTTTAACTTTTTAGCTTCAGTAGCAGTTGGTTTTATTCTGTGAGGATGCCTTATAATGGAATTAAGATTCATTAAAACTAAATAAATTAGTTGCATGCAAAACAAACTCATTTTCATTGTGCTCAAGAACCAGATCTCATTTCTTCATAATAACATATTACTGAGACTATTATAATTTTTAAAAGTAAGACTTGAGCAAGAACTAGTATTTGAAAATGTCTTCAAGTTTCTGTGGAAAATTATAACCAACTTTGCAAGGGAGTGCCTCTTTAACTGGAAGAGGTTAGCATTTCTATAATACTCCTAGCTTTGACAACACAGATTATCAATGCAGGCTGACGTCCTTGATAAGGTTAAATCATCACAAAAGTTAAATTTCACAAAAGATCCTGTGGAAATCTGCTAAGATTTTCATGGAGAATAAAAGTCTGGAGGTGGGACAAGCTGCTGAATGAATTTTACATCTTGTTTTTAATAGTTATGATTACATCTTCAGCATTACTAATTTTATATACTGTTTTTATTATATCTTTAAGACTCATTATTAGACTTTACTGATATGGTTGCTATTTGTGTCTTTTGGATCTCTGTCATACATTTCTCTTTGGTCACTGTCACTAATCTAAGGATGGATGTTTTCTGCAACTGATTTTTCTTTTTTTAGATGTTGCTTTTAAGCATGCTAGTGATGTGTATATTTTATTGCCATTTAAATGAAGTGTACTATAACTGGTAACTAATCCAGAAATATATTTTGGAATTAGCTAACATTTCTGAGAATTTTAATCAGGCAACCCTCTAAATATCATTTTAGGAATTAATATACATATTGTAACATGCTAAAATAAAGATCATATACATTTGTCACCAATGTACTGTCGTAATGTTCATATGTTTCTTCACTTGTATTCACAACTGTCAGTTACTGTTTTTTTTTTTAACTGAGTGGAATAAAAATTGTATAACGCTGTTTTAGTGGGTTGAAACTGTCAAATAGCTTACATGACTGTTTATCAGAGCAACTGATATTCACCAGAAGGAATCTTTCCATGCAAGTTGGATTAAAAAACTGAGGAAGGGTTAAAAGTATATTTAATTTATTATCTGCTTTAAAGAGTACCCCTTCTATTGCTGTGACCTTTGCATATCATTTTTCTTGTGTTGTACTAAAAAGGAGCATTAGAAGAATATTGTCGCTACCATGTGTCTTTAAAAACACTTGAAGTCAAAGATACCTGTAAGTGCAGAGGGAAGCGAAATTTCCTTTGAGTGACAACACAGGTTAGGGAAAACAAATGCTTTGAAGAATTTTAGGCAACCACGACTAATGTTTCTGCTGACTTCTTCCTCCTGGGGTAAGGGAATTATGTTTACTGTTCTGCAGAGAACAACTAAGTAGCAAAAGTATAATACTGTTAGATAACATTGCTCTTTGAGACCTGATTTAGGGTTTTAACAAGCAAGTTTTACTTTTGATGATCAGTGTAGCAATGGCTAAAATAGTTGTTTTGGTTTAAGCAAACTAGTTTTAGAAACTACTGTTTATGAAAGCAACCTTATACAAAATGTTGAAAGTGTTCCACTACTTTTCAGTGTGGTTTTTTTTTTCTTTTTCCAGTACAATGTAATATGCTTTATACCCTAGTTTGAATAAGATGCACCAAGTTGTATGTGTTATAATTTAATGTATCTTTATTAATATATAATAATATATTGCCTTCTTAAAGCATACAGCTCTTGTCCAGAGTAGAATTTTGAGTATGTACTTGTTTAATGTTATGTTTGTATCTGTGTACAGAAAGCATAGAAACAATGTTGGACCAAGCAAACCTATTTCTCAGCCACGAAGAAACATTGTAGGCTGCAGAATACAGCATGGCTGGAAAGAAGGGAGTGGACCTGTAACGCAATGGAAGGGCACAGTTCTTGATCAAGTTCCTGTAAATCCCTCTCTCTATCTTATAAAGTATGATGGATTTGATTGTGTTTATGGACTGGAACTGCACAAAGATGAAAGAGTTTCAGCACTTGAAGTCCTTCCAGACAGAGTTGG